TAGTGCAACTTTAGTGCGCGGAGTATCTGGGGAGCTGGAAGATGAGAACTGGCGACTTTGTAGTACAACTTTAGTACGCGGAGTATCTGGGGAGCTGGAAGATGAGAACTGGCGACTTTGTAGTACAACTTTAGTACGCGGAGTAATCTGTGGAGCTGGAAGCTGGGAACTGGCGACTTTGTAGTACAACTTGAGCACGCGGAGTCTCTGGGGAGCTGGAAGATGAGAACTGGCAACTTTCTAGTACAACTTTAGAAAATGAGAACTGGCGACTTTGTCGTACAACTTTAGTACGCGGAGTATCTGGGGAGCTGGAAGATGAGAACTGGCGACTTTGTAGTGCAACTTTAGTACGCGGAGTATCTGGGGAGCTGGAAGATGAGAACTGGCGACTTTGTAGTACAACTTTAGTACGCGGAGCAATCTGTGGAGCTGGAAGCTGAGAACTGGCGACTTTGCAGTGCAACTTTAGTACGCGGATGAGTCATCTCTCGCGGCTGAGTCATCTCTCGCAGCTGCTCTGGCGCCCCTGCAGCTGAGTCATGTCTCCCGACCACCCGGCTCTCTTAAAAGGTTGACACACACACAGAGACCCACGCACTGCCTCAACTTACTCGGAGACACACACACAGACAGAGACTCACACACACACAGACATAGATACACACACACAGACCCACACACTGCCTCAACGCACTCGACTTAACACTTCACACTGAACACTTAACAGATAACTCACACTCTGACTTCCTACGTGATGAAAAATGCTTTCGGGCCACTCGTCGTCTAGTTTGTGTTGCTGTTTGCATCCCGAAGCAGTGCAGCGCGGGTGTCCAGCAGGTGACAAAAGGGCTATAGATTCCAAACAAAGAGGCTGACATTTTGCATGCAGCATGCGATTATGCAGGAGTGGTGACCACCTTTGGCTTATGAACCCGGCACATTTGTTGCTTTTTGCAGATGTTGGTAAAACTTGTAAACGTTGTTCGACATGACAGAAACGCCACATTTGGCGACATTCACTAAGCATGATTTACAAATTTTTTCTACCTTGGCTCCTTCTGCTGGAGCAATGCCACGGGACCGGAGCCCCAGCTGTAGCCAGTTTTGGGCCTCCGGGGTGGGAGCACAGGGTGACGCATACGTCCAGCTGCATGCGGGACGGAAAAAACCATGTAGGATGTCCCTTCTTCTTTGCTCATGAAACCCAACGGTGGGTGATGGACCCAGCGGAGAGCGGTCTGGGGTGCAGGTTCTGGCAGATCCAAAGCCCAAGGCCGCCAGAGGCTGGTCGTGACAAAGAGGACTTCTCTGAGAATTGAAGAATCACCAGGTAGATGGCATCGATGGCACGGGCCTGTTTGGTTGTTTGTTTTGGTCACAGCTTTCAACAGTACATTTACATACTTGTAGACTTCAGCAGCTAGCAGCGGTTGAATCGTTCTGGGAACGCGGCCACGTGCTTTGGCCAGGGGCTCGTGGCGGGCTGTCAGTGCTTGACCTGAGGCAGAGGCCCTGCGTCGGGCATAGGGCAAGCCAATGGGCTTGAACTCTTCAAGCGGAAAGTCAGAGAAACCTGGATATGGCAAGGTCCTGGAAAGGGCATCATTCCTCTTGGTCGGGTCCTCTTTTTCAGGGTTTCCCATGGGTTTGGAATCTGGGTGAGGAAAACAACACAAAAACAAACATTTTGAAAGATCATGACTTATACTCAGGTGAAATGAACAAGAACTTGTGAAATATACCTCAAAATTAATGCGGGTAAGTCGTGCCCTGCGTCCTAAAAACTGTATGACATGAAGCAAACATTTGAACAACAACTCAAAATAAGAGATGCAAGAGGCTGTCACCAACGATCTTCAATACGGTTGATTTTACATTGACAAACGTCATTGCTTAAGACTTTGGTATCTAAACAATGGATAAACATTGGAGACAGTTCGGGATTGAGAACGAAAATGCATAGAGGTAAACTTCATAGAGGAAAAGAACATAGTGACGTTCCTGTGACATGTTCTCTTTTAGCTCTAATCTTCCAGCAAAAGGACCCCCCTAAACAAGCGATGATGAACCAGGTCGGAATGGCCTATGTCATGAATGCTTGCCACTGAAATTGTAGGATCTTATACTTACACCTCTACATGACTTAGACCTTTCCTTGGGAAAATTGTATGTAATATCTACGCGTTTGGCCTAAGTCATTTGACCTCAGTATAGATTTTGCTTCTTTGGTCAAGAGATGTTTCACACCCGTGTTTTGGTCTCTTCAAGTGCAGGTTCTTTGGGGGACAGTTTCTGCAGCATCTTCTGTTCAGTTTGATGCCTCTCCACCCCCCCCGCCACCCAGCCCGAGGCTGAAAGCTTTGGGCCTGCGTGTGACTGGATCGAAAGCCGAGCTGGAAGAACGTTACGAGGCCTGGAAGAACAAGAGCAAAGATGCAGCGAGTTCGACTGGGGCGAGAAGCCTCAGTTGGCAACCATGGTACTTCGAAATCAGACGCCTGGCCGGACCTCCGACGTGTGGTGTGCCCTAAACCCAAACCCCTTCGCCTTCAGGCGGCCACGTCTGTGCGGGTGGCCCAGCGGCGGGCCCCGTGGTGGGCGGCACTGGTGGACAGGTGATGTCGCAGTAGGTTTTCTCACTCTTTCCGGAGCAAAGTCCTGCCGTCCGCCCCGATGTCGCAGTGGGCACGGAGCCCCCCAAATTCTCCTGACGGTAGGCCGGGTATGGTGTTTGGGAACGCCGTTGTTTGGGAAAGTCCAACTTGGGGGATCCCCGACACGACACAGGACACCACCGGTGCGCCACGATGCTCTTAGCCTGCGGTCCCGCCCGTGGGGTTGCTGCTGCGCAGTGGAGACACCAAACCTTGGAGGATCCGGACCGATCCCGAAAGATCCGGACCGATCCCGCAAGATCCGGACCGGCCCCCCACCCCCGCCCGGACCCCGCCGCCTTGCGCGGAGACCTCGGACGCCGCCGAGGCCCACGAGGTCCGCCGGACCCGCCGGACTAACGTGAGCGAGCTCCTTCCAACGAGAAATGGAAGAAGGTTTTCATTTTGCAACGGGGTTTCAAGAGACAGTCGATGATCGAAATCTTTAAAACAACCGTCCAATGTCCAATTATTCGATATAGATTGATCAGCACATGTTTCATGTTTCCTTAGACTTCGCCGTGCGGGTGAGTGACGCGCTCGGTGAGTGACGAAGAGGAGTGTGAGTGAGTGACTCCCAACAGTGCAATAGTTGACTTGCCTCAATGCACCAGCTTTCCAAATAGACTCCAATTTGGAAGCGGCTTCGCTGTGGAAGCGGCTTCGACGGTGGCAGCCTGTCCAGGGCAAGAGAGAAAGAGAAGGAGACGATGGAGACGAGGACGAGGAACTGGGTGCCGTGCCAGAGTTTCACGCGGACGGTGGCCAAAAGGTTCTTTTCCCTTTCGGAGACCAGCAGGGGCAGAGGGCAGATAGCAAGAACATGTATAACATATACTGTAGAAGATTTTCCGGAGAATCTGAGAATCGCAGTGGTTGGTTCCTCATTAGGACGACACACCCACATGGCTTTCCGGCCTCGTCCTGCCCCAGGAGCTTCCGACCTCGCCAAAGCGTGCGAAGGTGCTTGGGAATGCTGTGGTGGGTGCTTGATCTTGTGGCATACCTAAAGCAAGGGGACCTCTGCAGAAGAAGGCCACGTGGCAAAGCATGATCGTGTATTTTTGGGGCAACTGTTGACAGAACAGATGCTTTTGAACATTCTTATTGTATCCTTGTATCTCTTCTTTTTTGGAGCTGCACGGCAAGCCAAAGGCACCAAGCGCCTGGAGAGCCCGGAGCGTGTTGCAGTCTTTGCAGTACCTTCACCTCAAAAGAATCAGATCTTTCCAAATTCTAGATGGCTAAGCAGGTCTGGTTCGTTTGAACTTCCGGAGAGCTGGGGATTTCCGCCAGGTAGAGGCTTCTCCCAAGAAGTCGCGGAAACCAAGCTCGCCAAAGACGAGTTCTCCCAAATCCAGTGCAAAGCTGGAGCCGGATGCTCCAGTGTGTCGTGGGTTGCTGGCACTGTGATGATGCTTTAGGCTTGCATTTCATAGATAGATATAATAACTTCTATTTGTTGAGTTGGGTGTGAATTGTGCACATACACAAGAATGGTAAGGAGAGCATCTCGAACGACGCACCAGTTAAAGGTGAAGAACGATACTTGGACATGCTCTTTGCTTCAACACAAGTCCCTGATTGCAATGAATGGTCCTTGGAGTCGGATTTTACCCAGGGAGCCCCCTAGCTCGCCAAAGCGCGCAAAGGCCAGGACAGAGATCATGGGAGGGGATGGGGCTTGGAAAGATGTAAACAACTGCGGTCCTGGTTGATGAACAGGGTGAGGCAGCTGCTTTTAGTCTACGGCCCAGAAGCACCACTGAATGTATATACATTATTTTGTCACCTTGTTTGGAGTTGCACGGCAAGCAAAAGGCACCAAGCGCCCGGAGAGTGTTGCAGTCTTTGCAGTACCTGCACCTCAAAAGAATCAGATCTTTCCAAATTCAAGATGGCTAAGCAGGTCTGGTTCGTTTGCATTTCCGAAGAGCTGGGGATTTCCGCCAGGTAGAGGCTTCTCCCAAGAAGTCGCGGAAACTAAGCTCTCCAAAGACGAGTTCTCCCAAATCCAGTGCAAAGCTGGAGCCGGATACTCTAGAGAGGACGCTGGCAGGGTGAATTGGGTGGTCGCCCGATCGCTAGGCTAGGTGACAGAATTCCGGTTTGTTTGGTCCTTGTACGGCCTGCTTGTGCTCAAGAGGAGGTGACAACTTGTTGTGGTCAGTGAGACATGTTTTAGGATGGAAAGATTCTTCTGCATCACTACATCCAAAAAAACAGGGTTGTGAGCAGGCTGTTGCTCGGGCTGTGTGTCAAAACAAGTACTGAGGGCTGACTGGATTTCATTCAACCATTTCGTGTGGCTTTGTTCAACTAGGTACGCCCTTTGAGAGTGTCAAACCGTCCGCTTTAGATGGTAGAGCCGATGATCACATCTGTGGTGAGTCTCCTGGCTAGTGACAGAAACCCATCCCTACAACCTAAAGGTTGCTCAGCATGTCCTGCGCGTCCCGCCAATAGCAGGGGTTTTCCCGGTTGCTGTTGGAGCTATAGATGGGGCAGTTCTTAGCATTGAGCATCGTACCAGACCAGGGCTAACAGCTGCATGGACTGTATCAGTGCTTTGTAGTCTACAGAGGCTTGCAGTTCGTTGAATAGACAGAGATTGCGGGAAACATAGGGTGTTCACTTGGCTCACACAAGCCGCAGGTTCTTTGAGGGTGTCTTCACAAGCAGATCGGTTTGTCGACCCCTGGTTGGAGTACGACATGTCACCCACACCCACCGTCGCACCGTGGGGAGTTTTTCGACCTTGCAAGGATGGTTTCGGACGGCGACGTGGGGGACCCTTTGGACTTCGAAGCTGAGCTCGAGGCACAGTTGGAAGGCCCGGTTTTGGGAAAGAGTTATTTAGAGCAACATTTGTGTAAAGGTTTCCTTAGAGGCAAGGCTCCTATTTATTCCACCACAACTCTTAACTGTCTTAATGATTTATCACAGACAGAAGGTGGAGCTGGGGACTGTTCAAGGCACTCATCAAGTTGTAGCCGTCACATGACTTGTGCAATGGCTGACGCCTGACGGGTAAACAGCCTTGTCAAGTCGACCCGTCTGTCAACATGTTGCGTTCAAAAACCCAATCGCCAGCCGCCAGCTACTCCTTTTTGCCCAATCTGAAAAGGCCTTGGTGACTTCAAGCCGGAACAGTTGGAGGAAGCGACTCTTGCCGACGAGGTCCGGGATTTCACGGTCGATATGGTTTGCACCAGCAAGTGCAGACATAGAAAAGAATCCACGAGAAGGAGGGGCACACGTTGTCGCAGGTCACAAAGAACAACATGTGGGACCATTTGCAAGGTTAAGTTCCCATATTTCGCTCTCACAGCCCTGTGGGTGTGTTGGTGACCGCCACTTCTTCTTTCCTTTGCTGGACCTTGTTGAACTGCCGGTGGCTGACAGGCCAAAGAAGAGAAACTCGAGCCAGGCGGGATTTGTGCTGCGGCAGTTGAAAAACCAGGGTAGGAGAATGGATCAAACTTCTGTCGCAAGCTTTGTTGGCTTGGAACTCATGGAGTTGCTTCACGGGCTCAGGCCTTCCGGATAGCTGTTGGTGACCACTGGTGAATTTTATTTGTTCGCAGCAAAGCAGCCAAGGGCTCCAGCTGGCTCATCGACGTGTTTCTTGCTAGAAGAAGAAACTTGTGCAAGGAGAAGAAAACAGACCTATAGATTTTCAACAACCTGTGCAGGGCAGCCATGAGTTTGTTAAAGGAAGCTGACTCCCACTTTTGGGTGAACTATGAACGCTCAGCTCAGCGGTCCAACAGGGTTTTTCACCCAAAGGCTGGGGTCCAACGGGTGCACCGCTCCGCCGAGGCCAGGCTTCGGCCGGCCGCGAAGCTCCCGCACTCCAGGCCCTGGGCGGCGGTCCCGATGCCGAAGCACCGATCCAGCCGTTCATCGCATCCCCTTGGCACCTTGGCTGCTTCGCAGCTGCCTTCCAGGTAGATGGGGATTGGGAGTGCAAACTTGCCTCTTCTGCATGATTCTTTGAGCATCTGAAAGAGCAATTTACAAAGTCTGGTGATGAACCAACCCGGTGCTGCCTGAAACGTGGCAGAACCTGAAATGAAGGGCCGATAAGTATTCCTTCCTGTGTGTACCAGTATCTACAGTATTCAACCTGCTTGAACCCTCGGTCTGGAGAAGGTCAAGCCTTGGGGTCTCTCTACATATACCCAAGGGTCGTTGGCACCATCCTTGAGTCGTTTTTTCTTCAACTCCGGGGTCCGTCCGAAGCGACCACAAGCCGTCACAAAGTCAACCAGTCCATAACTGTTTACACGTTCGGGCCGTCGACTTGCACGTTCGGGGCACTTGTTGACGCACCTTAGCACCAAAATTGGATTCTGGATTTTTTCTTTAAGTTTATGACCTTTCACACGTTTCCAGGTTTGAACCTTACACATTTCTTTTTTCCACTTTTCGACTTTTCGTTTTTTTGAGTTTTTGCAAATCCCGCCCGGAAAAGGAGGTGAACGAGGTGAAGGAGATGTGTTCGGCCGCCATGGAGTCGGAAGACCTGCTGCCCGACGAGTACAGGTGCCGAGTCTTCCGTCGAACCCACTGACCTTCTTGACTGCTTAGGAGGGAGCGACGGCTTGGTTCCGGTATCGTTTGTTCGGAGCTACAGGGAGGTCCTGGTCACTTTGCTAGATTAGAGACCTGAGCCGGTGAAGGGAAACGGGGTTCCCTCGATTGAAAAGACTTTTTGCGGCTTGTGCAGGAATGTTGAAGATTCCAGGACATCGAATGTTCAAAGACATCTGCATTGGGGGGTCCTTAATTACCCTGCCTCCAACAAGCATTGGGAAGGTGGTGCCCCAGTTGCATATGGGACCACAATAGATTATTCTCTTCACGATCCTATATAAGATCCTTCACTAATGTTGATGGAGTCCTGATTACATATATTATATATACCTGAAATCAACATGGAAGTGAACCACGGCTCTTCTACATATATGGCTTACCCCCAACTCGTGGGAACCGCCAAATGGGGCAACGGTGATTTGGTTGGACGGTGTGCTGTGGCCCTGCGCATTCTGTTCCCTCACCCAAGAGTCCAAGAAGCACTATTGGCGAGCCTGTGTTTCAAAACCTTAAGATCCTGAGTAGAGAACAGGGACTTCCAGTTTTGTACTATGACAGCAGTGGGTCGATTACCCTGAGATGGGGTCGCTTCAGATACGGCCCTTCTTGATGGTCGAATCTTGTGGCCAGGTTGCAGTTAGAGTCGCCTCACAAAGATTTGATTGACATGGTAATGAGTCGGGTGGCCCAGTTGGCGCAATTCTTTCGGTCGCTGCAACTGTTGGCTTTGCGGGCCTCTTGAAGAAAGAACCTATTTCTTGAAAAGCTGAGAGCAATAAAGAAAGTTGTTGGAGGCGTGGGTGCGGAGGACTTTGAGGCCCAGATTCTGCCATTTGAAGGGTTCCCTCCAAGGTGAAGCCGCACGGACCCGACCCCCCAACCGAGAGCCGAACGCAGCGAGGTTCGCACGCCTGGTGGCGAGCGGGGCTGCGGTCCTTGGTCCGGGGGACCCGACCGCGTCGTGGTGCGACCAACCGGGAGGAGAACCTGGGGGAGGCTGGGGATGGGAGGTCCGGTTCTCTTGGGGTTTCTTTGGGGGTTCCGGTTCTCTCTGGTTTGTGAAGACAAGAACAGATCGAAGACCCTGCCGCAAAGGTGAGAGGCAGCTGGTGGTGTGTGCCGCCGTGTGCCGCTGTAGTTTGCCGCCCGGGGTGGTTCCCAGGGCCATAGGCTCTTAACCTGCGTGGGAGACTCTGCGTTCGTCTCACTAGCCCATGATTCCGTTTGTTTGATTTGCCTTTTGAAACACAGCATGATTCATCCAAAAAAGTGCAGCAGAACCGTGAATGAAGGTTGGAATCCGGCCCCGGACGTCAACGAGAAGCACCGGTGACCCATCTTAGCAGAAAGAACTGGTGATTCGAACTGCTGGTCAGGTGATCCAGTGAAACCCACTGGATGAGACTGGATGGAGCGGAGCTAAACCAATAAACTGAACGAAATCCCCATGATGAAGGCACCCATCCACCCACGTGAAACCTGGACCACCTGCTTCGTGGTCCTGGGTCCAGTCCAACGAACCCAGGTGCAAAGCCTCAATGACCTGAACGAGGCCTGCACCGCACCATCAGCGGATGGGGTGAAAACACCTCAACCTCATGGGAACCCCAAGAGTTTTGTTGATGAATCCAGTCGATTCGTGCGTGGGAACCCAGAAAGGCAGAACCGGTCGAGTCTGTAGGCGGTTTTGAGAGTCGACGGCACAACCCCCAACCTAAAGCACCATCTACTCGGGGTCCCTGGTGCCATTGATTGAGAAAACCACTGGATTTTGGGACCAAAAACCTCTGGGATGCTACGCCGGGTCCGCTGGGATGCCGCCCCGAAAATTCGGGTCCCAAACGGTGGGTCCCGAGGCTGGAGACGGATAGCGGGCGACGTTGGAGCATCGCGGGGCAGCGCACCTGCAGCGCGTGGGGGCAGGAGATGAAACATGGATGGAGGATGTTTTGGGAGCTGTGAGGAATGCCTCACAATGTTTGAGGTACTCTTCGTGCACGGATAAAGTCGAGTTCCGCAACTGCGCAGGATTCCGCAACTAGGATTCCGCAACTGTTTGGTCGGATTCCGCAACTGGGATTCCGCAACTAGGATTCCGAAACTAGGATTCCGCAACTAGGATTCCGCAACTAGGATTCCGCAACTAGGATTTCGCAACTAGGATTCCGAAACTAGGATTCCGCAACTGTCAAGATTCCGCAACTAGGATTCCGCAACTAGGATTCTGCAACTGGGATTCCGCAACTAGCGTTCCGCAACTAGGATTCCGCAACATTGTGGACTCCCTCACTAGGATTCCGCAACTTTGTGAATGATGAGGGGGTTGGCGTGATGTCGAGATCACACGATGGGGACAAGGGGGGGTCGGGGGGTGGGGGGGTTGGGTGGGGGGCTAATGACGTTGGTTTGGATGTGCTTCGAAGGTGATGTCACAGGCACACACGCTGTCGCATGATGTGGAGATCACCAGTTGCAAGTTTCAGAAGGCAAGTTGCAGAATCTGACTTTCCGGTTTCAGAATACCAGTTGCAGAATCTGACTTTCCAGTTTCAGAATACAAGTTTCAGAATCCCAGTTTCAGAATCCTAGTTTCAGAACCCCAGTTTCAGTAGGATTCAGAACCCCAGTTTCAGAATACCAGTTTCAGAATCCAAGTTTCAGAACCCTAGTTTCAGAACCCCAGTTTCAGAACCCTAGTTTCAGAATCCGACCGATTAGTTTCCGAATCGTGCTCTAACCCTTCGTGCACAGTTGTGCAGGTGGTACAAATTGGTCGAATCATGTCTTGAGTCTGCGAGGATCGCAGACGCTACACAGGGCAGCCGGCTAGCCGGCTAGCCTGTCTTCGCACCTTTGTCTCCCACATTCTTCCTGTTTGGTCGCCCTCCCCCCACCGGCGCCAGCCGGTCGACAGAAGCCAAGCCGAGCCAAGGGGTCCTTTCACCGGGAAATCCCGGCAGGTGGACCGCGCGGAGTTGCCCAAGAAGATGGATCAGATGGTGGGACCAAGCCCAGAAGAACGACTCGTCGAGTCGAGCGTCGTGTGGATTGTGTAGATTTTCATGGCCCACGGTGCAGAAGAAGATGAACATAGGCGGGAGACGCATCAAAAAAGAAATATAAATGCATCAATAAAAAAATATAAATGCATCAAGAAAAAATTAAAATGCATCAATAAAAAAATAAAGAAAAGAAACAAAGAAAGGCAAGAAGGGAAGCAAGGAAGAAAGGAAGGAAGGAAGGTACGAAGCCAGGACGGAAGGAAGGAAGGAAGGAAGGAAGCAAGGAAGGAAGGAAGGAAGCAAGGAAGGATGGATGGAAGGAAGAAAGGCAGCAGGGCAGGAAGGAAGGTTCGCTTTTGGTGGCTCTTGGGTTTTGGTGGCTTTTGCCTTTGGTTTTCGATGGCTTTTGTAGGTGGCCAGCTTGCGGAGCTGTGCTGCCTGCAATGGCAAGTGTTGTCATGTATTCTATGTTAATGCATTTTTTGATGCATCTCCCGAAAGACACACACAACAACAAGGACCACTTTTGAACTCCTGTTCTATCCCCCATTTGGCCAGCTACTCAGCGAGCCAGCTTACGGACCTGTGCTGCCTGCAGTGGCCAGGAAAGCTGCTAATTGACTCACCCTTTGTTGCGCCACCCGAGGGTAAAATTTGGAGAAGGATGTTGCCATTTCAACTTGACTCACCCTTTTGCGCACAGGGTAAAAATTTGAGAAGGAAGTGGTCACTCCAACTTGACTCATCCCTTTGTGGCCAATGCAGAGGTAAAATTTAGAGAGGGATGAAGCGGCCATGCCGAGTTGACCCACCCTTTTGTGGGCCACGCAGGGGTAAAATTTAGAGAAGGATGTTGCCATTTCAACTTGACTCACCCTTTTGTGGGCCATGCGGGGGTAAAATTTAGAGAAGGATGTTGCCCTTCCAAGTTGACTCACCCTTTGGTGAGCCACCCGAGGGTAAAGTTTAGAGAAGGATGTTGCCATTTCAACTTGACTCACCCTTTTGTGGGCAGGGTAAAATTTAGAAAAGGAAGAGGTCATTCCAATTTGACTCACCCTTTGGTGAGCCACTGGAGGGTAAAATTTAGAGAGGGAAGTGGCCATGCCAAGTTGACTCACCCTTTTGTGAGCCATGCAGGGGTAAAATTTAGAGAAAGATGTTGCCATTTCAACTTGACTCACCCTTTTGTGGGCCATGCAGGGGAAAAAAGTTAGAGAAGGATGTTGCCCTTCCAAGTTGACTCACCCTTTGGCCAGCCACCCGAGGGTAACATTTAGAGAAGGATGTTGCCATTTCAACTTGACTCACCCTTTGTGGGCAATGCAGGGGTAAAATTTAGAGAAGGAAGTGCTCATTCCAAGTTGACTCACCCCTTGGTGAGCCACTGGAGAGTAAAAAAATACACAAGGAAGTGGCTATTCCAAGTTGACTACCCTTTTAAGTGAGCAACGCAGGGTAAAATTTGGAATACGCAGCAACATTCGGGAAAGGGCCTGTGTGCGCACTTGACTCCCCATGGTGGGGTGTGCGCACGCTGAGTTAACAAGTGTGTGCGCAGATGAGGCACAAGTGCCGATATAATGTGTGTGCGCAGTTGAGTTGAATCCGTGTGCGCGGCTGCGGCGCCGCCCTTCTGTGAGCCACCCGAATGTACAGTAGTAAAGGTTAGAGGGCAGAAAGCCATTCCATTCTAGCACGCCAGTAAAATTTTGGAAGAGCTGGATCTGAACCTCTGCAAGATTTTCCAGGTCTCTAGACTCTACACCTTTACACTAGATCTGTCTGGATGTCGAGGCCTTTGGATCTTTGTAGATGTCGGCGTCCTGCTTCTCAACCGTGACCTCTTGAATCTCCAAAACCTGAAACACCTTATCTTTTGAATTCTTGGCAATTTCGAAGAGAACACAGAGGGCAGAGGCCGACCGTTGTGGTGGATAGGTTGGTCTCGACCCAAGGGCCCTACAGGACCATCCAAGGTATCCGTGTAGGTTGATTTAGTTTTTTTTGATGCGTTTTTGTTTTTCTTTTGATCACTGCTTCGAGTTGGACTATTGCGCTTCCCTCCACTCGTTTGGGCCCGTTTATTCTTTTATTGATTCATTTTTGTTTTTTCTTGATACCCAGAACTATATTTGTTTTTTGATGCATTTTTATTTTTTTTTTGATCCCTTGCCCAACATAGGCTGTGGAATACCCAGTCAGTGGATAACCTTTAACTCTTTTTTGGGAGAACAGGTAGAAAAGGTTAACCTTTCTTTCCAGCAAAACTGAAGGAGTCAGGTAGACTCTTGATGATATAAGAATGAAAACCCCCTAGATCAAGAGGTTTTAAATGCCAAACGGGGAGTTTTGTTAATCAAGACTCTACATTACTGGACGGGATCTTTTCCAAGTCACAGATGGGTACTGATGGTGGACTTGGACAGAAGACGCATAGAAGGGGATGGCGCAGCCCTCGACATCGCATGGGATGAAGATGGAGGATGCAGCGTTGGGAAGACCAGCGGCTTTGAGGTTTCATGTTTAAGGAAACACATGAGGGGCAAAAGGAAGCCAGATCAAAAAAACATAATTTTTTGTGGGTTCGTTGTCTTGAGAGTTACAGTACACGCAGATGCGGAAACAAGACAGTTCTTTGCGTACCTACCGACCAAACCACCTGCAGGTGGTGTCTGTCAAATGGGACATTGTATGGTTTCATTTGCAACCCCGGTGGTTTCGACCATGTTCGTATCTTGCATTGCAGTCGACGGGCTCGCTGCGCTGAGCTTCTTCGCACTTAGCTCAGGGAGCCTCGCAGCTGGCCAAGCTGCTGCGTCGATTCCAGGTGCTTCGAAGATTTCCCACAGTTGTCGTTGGCCTTTTGGATCCAGCAATAGCCAGCAGGTCTTGTAGAAGAATCTATAATCACCTATAATCTAGAGTATTGAGCATGACACCACTTTTTGGTCTTTTAAGCTGGTCCTGAGTGCTGGTCGGTAATCATGGCAACTCAGATTTGTGTTCTATATAGAAGAAAGCTTTATTTGGCCTAGAGGAGGCAATGCTTGGTTCACCAAGCACTGACACTGACACTGCTTGCTCGCTCGACATGGATTGGACACTATGAATTCTTCAGAGAAAGTGCCACAAATTTCAGTCCAACGCCAGAACCGATCAAGTTTCACTCTCTGCTTCGGCCGATGTCAGGAGTCCATTCTTCTGCACTGCAGCGATCTCCGCGTCCGTTCGTTTCGAGCGCGTCCGACAGGAGGCCGTGGAGCGTCCGCTGAAGTCCTTCTCGGATCACCTGAAGCCCGCGCTCGCCCGGCGGGTGCGAGCCGTTGAGCCGTTGGGGAGCCGGTTTGGGTTTGGCTTTGGAAGGTGAGGCTTTTGACTCCGGGCACTTTACGGAGGAAGAAGAACCAGGAAGGGGGTTGAGATTCGTGCGACTTGCCAGACTTCGCGTTTGAAAAGGGAGGCTTGTCCAGGCCAGATCTGATGAAGAACTCAATCTGAATCTCTGAAGGCAGATGAACCGCTGCCGTTTCTTTCTTTTATATGGAAAACACATGTTGAGTCTCTTTGCACCTGTCTGGCAGATTCATGTGGGGACCATGGACCTCATGGGCAGCTCACATGAAGCTTATCGTCGAACGCCCGGGGGGGCTCAGTTGGACGCCCGGGTGTCGAAGGACGTTCTTGGATGGTCACTGCAAGTCTGCCTCGAAATGGACCACACAGTGGAAGATTCTCTTTTTGCGACTGCCGAGGAGTGAGGGCGATGAATAGTAACGAGAAGGACTTTGGAAAAGGGAAAATCCTCCAAACATGGCACAGAATGGCTCTTGCATTGGGCTGAGGAAGAATGAGGGAAGGACACACAGCCCGAGTGCCCCAAAATCCTTGGTGCAGGTCCCATGCCATTTGCAAGGTAGTGGGCTATAGTCACAGTCCTGCACAGCTGTAGCTGTCAGGTCAATGACTAAACTCTTCACACTTTGGCCTTACTTGAGTTGGTTGTCTCCGTCAGCAAACCTGGAAGGTTACCTGCCCAGGTAACTGCCTCCATCAGCTGTGCGCAGATGATGCGTTTATCAGTTTATCGACTTGCTTGTTTGGGTTGATGGGTCCAGGCTGACCATCGAAGCAGGTTTGAGTACAGAATCATGCACCGGGAGGTGGTATGAAACGGGAGGTGGGATGAAAAGTCTCATCTTAGCAGTGTGAATTTCAAGTGATGAGACTTTTCACCTTCCTAAGTTCTCACCTGAGTGCACCCATCTTGTGCCGGCGGTTGGCGGGCGCTAGGTTCGAATTCATTGAGCTGACGAACACCTGGAACGATCTGGACGTGCCCACACGCGCGTCTTGGAGCAACTGGAAGGGGGTTCGTCCTGACCTTGGAGTCAGGTGAACCAAAACCCAGTTTGCTCCAATTGGACCAAACTGTGAAGTATTTGGGAGTCCCAACAAAACATCGTCCCGCTGAAGAAGCGGTTGTAGCACTGCAAAAAAGGGGAAACACCTTCTTTTCGAGTGATCTACTAAGCATTGAGGCCCCTGTGGGCCTGGTGCCCATCTCGCTCAAGCATCGATTGTTTGAGGTGTCACCGAAAAAACCACCCGCATCACTGGCAATGAGACCCAAACTCGAGTGGACATGTGCATCTAAACGCGACTTCCAAACAAATGGGTGCTTCATCAGTGCTTGCATGTTGCACCAAAAGGATCTGCACAAGAAAGTGCATGATTATGATTCACAAGATCTGTGAGTGTTCGCCACCATTGCCACCATTCTTGTTGCACAAGAAAGTGTTAGGACCTTTGCCACAAGATCTGATGAGTTTTCGCCACCAGTTGGACTCAACATGACTCCCGTCTGGCAGCAGTCTTCCCGTCTGGCCATATAACATGTGCCATTCTGTCTCAGTGACCAGTTTTTTTGTTTCCGACTGCTGCTTAGCTGTGGGTGACTGAGACATCCTCATCTGCCCAAGAAAGAATAGGTTTTGGGTCCGACGCATGAGGCATCACCCGAATTCCCCAGATTGCGCGAGCTATTGGGCTTCTAATCTGGGGTCTATCTAGCGTAACTCGGCCAATGGAATTTCACCTTTTGTATTGGTTGGCAGTTGCTGGACCCATGTGTCGTTCTGCACGGGACCCTTTGGCAGCCGATTGGTGGCCGAGTGATCGGTGGCTGGCTGAATCAGGAGTGTTCGGTGTTCAGTCTTTTATTTCTCTTTTCGGGGGACCCTTTGGGTTCAACTCCCTTGGAGTTCAGCAGATGGCTGTGATCCTGTTCGAGCGGAGTGAATGGCTGTGTTTGCGACCACTCCTCCCATAAGAAAAACAACACATGTCCGCAGGAAACCGGACAACCCTCTGGAACGTGGTTTGGAGTTCTTTCTTTCCACCAGCTCCAAACCGGACACATCGTTGGCGAGACCAATCTTTAAGCCGACATGGTCGTGAATCCTGTCCACTTGTTGTAAGTGTGAACACACGTCCGAGAAGTATCAGGACATGGAGCCGGCGTGGAGCCTATACCCTAAAACATCCTAAAACCCTCAAACCCTTAAAGCCAACCCTAACGCACCCTCCCTCCAGTGGTCCACTGGACCCCATTCCATGGGTCACTGGGTTTCGGTCGACCTCGGCATGACTCGGTCGACTCGGCTGAAGGCCATCAGCAAGACCTACAGGCCGGGTGCTGTATGACCTTTGCACACAAAGTGGGGGAAGGACTACCTGGCGGGTCGGAGCTAACTTGGGGGACACACATGGTCCTTCACCAAGGGTGAAGGATGGTGAAGGACCACCTGAAGGATGGCTACCTGCGGCGGACCACCTGGTGGGCCTCTCCTCGAGCTGTGGAAGACAACCGGTAGGACGGTCGGATTTCATCTACTTCCCTACCATCCAAGAAGTACGGCTAGTGCTGGCAGACGAGGCAGACGTGGCACATGAACGTTGCCGACTGTTGCCGACTGTTGCCTCCAACCACTTTTGGGCGTGTCGGACCTCCGGTTTTTCAGGAGTTACATTCTCCGCGCCGGTGTGCATGGGAATGTTTTGGGCTACTTATGAGGGATGTTCACTCCCTCATAAGTCATTCGGACTGGAGACCATCAGTCAGACTGCAGGCAGCTTGAGTGTGGATACAGAGACCCCTCGATGTACAAGGCACTCAGCGGATGGGGGGTGACACTGAGCGTCGTCCGGGTGTTTCGGGGTAGGCGGTGTTTGGAATTTAGGAGACCTCCGATTCTGGGGGCGAACCAAAAAAACCTCGGAAGTTACTAGAAGTACCTGATCCCGCACTCGTGGCGGGTCGTGCAGTTGCCGTAACGGTGGTGCCTTTGCTTGTTGGACACTTGACAATCTGGTATTTCTTTCTGAGTTTGGTCTGGCCTCCCTCTATCAGGAATCGTACCACCCGTTACGCCCCCCGATGGTGCTTTCCACCATTTCCAACAAAATCGAATATTTTAGTGTGAGAACGCTGACAAGGACCCCACAGCGCCTACAGCGCACACCGCATTGCTTCGGGATAGTTCCCGTTGTTCTTTTTTGGCCGAAGAGTATTTATCATGCGGAACAAGCCTGAGCTTGCTAAATGAGGCCACATCCTTCAGAGGGAGAAAGAGAGTTAGAGAGAGAGAGAGAGCCTGTAAACATTTCATGCTCGCATTGATTGACCACATGGTTGATTAAATTGACAGATTCACTTCCAAAGCTACTAGAAAACCAGGGAGATTCGTGATTGTCTCTAAAAACTATGTCGGTCTCTCAACTCTCAACTGCTTTTCATTCTCCAAGATCATGGGGCAAATTGGCACATGAATTCTCTATAATTTTCAACTGCTTTTGTAGTAGCTTCTTGTTACTGATTACTAGTAAGGCACTTGTTACTAGACGCGATGCACTTATTACTAGTAGCTTCTTGTTATTCCTTTCTACGGATCACTCAGAAATGACCCTCTTTCTCATCCCCGGCCTTCCACTCTTGCGAACCACGTCTAGGCCCTCGCGCGCCGCGCTGGCGATGCTCGCGACTCCTTCCGGGTGGTGGTGAAGGCCGGGAGTGTTTGGGGACGGGGGAGGGACCCAGGTGCCCTTCCTGAAGGTTTTTGGGAGGTCACGAGCAGAAGAGAACGACTTTTTTCCAATCTTCAGATGCTTTTTTTGTTTCAATGCAAGTGTATAAGCGGGGGATTCTTTCCAGTTCTTTCCATGGTGTGGTATAGGAACCTACAGGAATTCAGGTCGGTGGGTTTTAAATAGTGACGGTCTCAAAATGTTTGCTCAGGGTGCTTCCGAGCATCCAAAACGAGTGGTAACATGGGGTGGCGACCCTCCTTTCATAGTTTGATGGAGCAAGAAGTAGTCGGGTCTCTCAGATTCTCTGAAGATTCACTATGTTTGGAATGACCCAGTGTTTTGGTAGAGTTCAACGATCCTGTGATAGATTGTCCAGGGTGGGGTTGTCGGGTATCAGTGACGGCCATCGGAATCACTACATGAAAATGTGAGCAGCTATGGTCCGAAGCAATAAGTACAACTTCGCCGGACTACTGAGAGCCACTACTCCATTCCAGAAATATAATACACATGTGTGTATGTGTACATACATATTTGTACTCATTTGGACATGCTGTTTATGCTGTAAAGTCAAGTGCACAATGCGCGTATAAAAAACTAACGCTGCCCTGCCCCTGCCTTGTTCGGCCATGCATGACCACCACAGGCATCAGACATGTTTCAACTCAGAACTGACAGAGAAGGGTGAGCAAAGGACAAATGAGGGTGCTCCGTTTTGTTGTGTCCGACGTCCGATTTGCCGCGCAGGCGAGCTCTGGTTCCTTGGCTGAATTGGTTGAATTTCCGTCGTTGCTGTCAGTCTCATGTTTGCTGCCGCTTTTGTTTTTAAAGCTTTTCGTGTTGGTTGTTGATGTTTTTTGGCTTTTCCTGTTACTCTCCTTGCCCTTCTTCTCTCTTACTTCCTATTTCTGGTGGGCTTTGTTGGTCTTGTGCTTGACTTCCTTTTTGTTGCCCTTCCAGGCGTTGCTCAGGCAGCAACGACCAACAAGCAAGCAACGTGCAGCCAGCAGCAAAGCAACCACAAGCAACACCAACAAGCAGCAACAGCAACCAAGACAAAGCACCAGCAGCAGCAGCAGCGACAGCGAGAACGACAACAACGGCCGCACCAACAGCAGCAGCAGCAGCAGCAGGAGACAACAACAACGACAACAACGACAACGACAACGACAGCAGCAGCCCTCGGCTTGTTCTTTGCTAGCTTCGTTAGTTGTGGAGTGTTGCTCGTTTCCTTGCTTGCTTGGTTTGATTTTGGTTTTGCTTTGCTTTTAGTTTGCTGTGCTTGTGGTGCTTGTGTTTGTGGTTGTGGTGGCTGTTGTCGTTGTCGTTGTCGTTGTCGTTGTCGTCGTGGTTGTCGTCGTGGTCGTCGTCGTCATCGTCGTCCTGGTCGTGGTCGTGGTCGTGGTCGTGGTCGTGGTCGTGGTCATGGTCGTGGTGGTTGTTGTTGTGGTTGTGGTGGTGGTTGTTGTTGTTGCTGTTTGTGGTTGTGGATGTGGTTGTGGTTGTGGCGGTGGTGGTGGGTGTGGCGGTGGTGGTGGTTGTGGTTGTTGTGGTTGTGGTTGTTGTTGTTGTTGCTGCTTGTACTTTGTTGGTTTTGTTCTTTTTTGTTTTGTTTGGATTGGTCTTGTTTGTTTGTTTGTTTGTTTTTTGGTTTGGTTTGGTTTGGTTTGTTTTGTTTGTTTGTTTGTTTGCTTGCTTGTTTGTTTGTTTGTTTGTTTGTTTGTTTGTTTGTTTGTTGTTTTGTTTTGTTTTGTTTTGTTGGATTTGTTGTGTTTTTGTTTGCTTGTTTGTTTCTTTGTTTGTTTGTTTGCTTGTTTGTTTGTTTGTTTGTTTGTTTGTTTGTTCTTTTTTGTTTGTATTTGCTTATTTGTTTTTGTTTGTTTTGTTTGTTTGCTTGTTTTTTGTTTGTTTGCTTGCTTGCTTGTTTGCTTTTGTTTGTTTGTTTGTTTGTTTGTTTGTGTTTGTTTGTTTGTTTGTTTGGTTGGTTGGTTGGCTGGCTGGCTGGGTGGTTGGTTGGTTGGTCGGTTTGTGGGTTGGTGGGTTGGTGGGTTGGTGGGTTGGTGGGTTGGTTGGTTGGTTGGTTGGTTGGTTGGTGGGTTCGTTGGTTGGTTGGTTGGTTGGTTGGTGGGTTGGGTTGGGTGGGTGGGTGGGTGGGTGGGTGGGTGGTGGTGGTGGTTTTTTGTTGTTTGTTGCTGTTGAGTTGTGCTTGTTTTTGTTGTTTGGTTGTTTGTTTGTTTGTTTGTTTGTTTGTTTGCCTTTTTTATTTGGTTGGTTTTGGTTGGCTTGTTTATTTTTGTTTTTTTGTTTGTTTGATTGTTTGGTTGGTTGGTTGTTTGGTTGGTTGTTTGGTGGTTGGTTGTTTGGTGGTTGGTTGTTTGGTTGGTTTGTTGTTTGCCGTTTGTTGCTTGCTGCTTGTTGTTTGCTTGTTGGTTGGTTACTTGTTGTTTGTTGTTTGTTGCTGTTGCTGTTGTTGTCGTCGTCGTCGTCGTCGTCGTTGTTCTTGTTCTTTTTCTGGTTTGGGTTGTGAATGTGCCTGTCGTTTTGATCTTGTTTTGCTTGGCTTGCCTGCTCTTAAAGCCCTGGCTGTTTCTTTCGGAGGGGTTATTGTGGTAGGTGTGATTTTGCATTGTTTGTTGGGCTTGTTCTGCTTCTTGTGTTTGTTGTGCCTGTTGTGATTGTTTTGCTTGTTGTGGTGGTTGTTACGGTTGTTGTCGTTGTGGTTGTGGTGACTGTTTTGGTGATGAGAGCTATTTGTGGTGGTGGTTGTTGTTGGTGGTGGTGGCGGTGGTTGGTTGGTTGGCTGGCTGGCTGGCTGGTTGGTTGGTGGGTGGGTGGGCTGGTTGTGTGGGTGGTTAGTGGGTGGGTGGGTGGGTGGGTTGGTTGGTTGGTGGGTGGGTGGGTGGGTGGTGGTTGTTTGTGGTTGGTTGTTGATAGTTGTTGAGTTGTTTGTTTTTGTTGTTTGTGTTGTGTTGTGTTGTGTTGTGTTGTGTTGTGTTGTGTTGTGTTGTGTTGTGTTGTGTTGTGTTGTGTTGTAATGTGTTGTGTTGTGTTGTGTTGTGTTGTGTTGTGTTTGTTTGTTTGTTTGTTGGGTTGGTTGGGTTTGTTTGTTTGTTGGTTGTTTTTTGGTATGTTTGTTGGTTGGTTGGTTGGTTTGTTTGTTTGTTCCTTCGTTCGTTCGTTTGTTTGTTTGTTTTGTTTGTTTTATTGTTTGTTTTGTTTTGTTTCGTTCTGTTTTGTTTTGTTTTGTTTGTCTATTTAGTTCGTTCGTTTGTTTGTTTGATTGTTTGTTTGTTGGGTTGGTTTGGTTTGGTTTGGTTTGTTGGTTGGTTTGTTTGTTTGTTTCTTTGTTTGTTTGTTTGTTTGTTGGTCGGTTTTGTGTTGTTTTGCTTTGTTTAGTTTGTTTTGGTTGTTTTGTTTTTTTTGGCTTGTTTTATTTTGTTTTGTTTTGTTTGGGTGGGTGGGTTGGTTGGCTGGTTGGTTTTGTTTCTTTTTTTGTTTGTTAATTTGTTTGTTTGTTGCTTTGCTTTGCTTTTGCTTTCGCTTTGCTTTTGCTTTGGTTTGCTTTGGCATGTCTTTTTGGTTGTGGTCCTTTGGTGGCTTGTTTTTTGTTTGTTGGTGGGTTGGGTTGGGTTGGGTTGGGTTGGGGTGGGGTGGCTGGGTTGGATTGGGTTGGGCTGGTTGGATTGGCTTATGTTGGGGTTGGGTTGGGTTGGTTTTGTTTGGGTTGCGTCGGGTTGGGCTCGGTTGGGTTGGGTGGTTGGGTGGTTGGGTGGTTGATTGTGGTTGTCAAGTGAAGGTGGTGGTGGTGGCGGTGTTGTTGGCGGGTGGTCTTGGTGTTGGTGTTTGTGGTGGCGGCGGCGGTGGTGGTGGTGATGGTTGTTGTTGTGTTTGTGGTTGTTGCTGTGGTTGTGGCTGTCGTTTTGGTGGCAGCTGTGGTTGTTTTCTTTGTTGTTGTGGTGGTTGTTTTTGTTTTTGTTGCTGTTGTTCCTGTGTGTTGTAGCTCCGGTGGTTGTCCTTGTTTCTGTGGGTGTGGCTCTGGTTGTGTTTGCAGTTGTGGTTCTGGTTCCGGCTGCTGTTGTTGTTGTTGTTGGTGGTGGTGGTGGTGTTGGTGTTGGTTGTGGCTTGTTTGTTGGTCGTTGCTTGTTGCGGGCTCACTCGTTTGTTCGTTTCGTTCTTTTCTGGCTTTGCTAGTGAGATAGTTTGCTTGCGTGTTGCGTTGTGGTGTGTTTGTGCTTTCCTGCTTGTTTTGTTGGGCTTGGTTCGGTTTTTGATTCTGTTGGGTTTGGGTTGTCTGTTGTGTGCGTGTGTATGTATGTATGTATGTTAGTTATGTTACGTTATGTTATGTTATGTTATGTTAAGTTATGTTATGTTAGTATGTATGTATGCATGTGTGTATGTATGTATGTATGTATGTATGTATGTATGTATGTATGTATGTATGTATGGATGTGTGTTTGGTTTGTTTTTTGTTTGCGTGCTCGCTCGTTTGTCTTTTTATTGTTCGCTTGTTGGCTCCTGTTTGTGGCTGTGTGTGTTTGCTTTTGTTTGTTGGGCTTGTTTATTTGTTTGCCGTGGTGGTGGTAGTTTTCGCGGTGCTGTTTGTGGTTGTTTGTTTTGTAGTCGTTGTAGCTGTTAGTGCGGCTGTTCTTCTTGCTTTCGTTGTTGCCGTTAGTTGTTGTTTTTGTTGTTGTTGTTGTTGTCGTTATGCTTGCTTGCACTTGTGGTTCTTGTTGGGGTTTTTCATGTTCTGCCTGCTGCTAAAATTCTGGCTGCGGTTGTTGTCGTGTTGTTTTTGGCCGCGGTTCTCGAAGGAGGTTTTGCTTCACTTTGTTTGTGGGGTTTGTTCTGTTCCTTGTGCTTGTTGCGCCCGTCGTTTTTGTTTGGTCTTTTGGGGTGGTTGTGGGTGTTGTTTTGGTGACGATTGCTTTTGGGATTGTTGTTTTTTGCTTTGTTTCATTTTGTTTCGATTTTTCGTGTCTTCGTTTTGTTTGTTTGTTTGTTTTTCTTGTCTTTTAGTTAGTCAGTTGGTTGGTTAGTTAGTTTTAGTTGTATAGTTAGATAGTTAGTAAGTTAGTGAGCTAGTGAGTGAGTTAGTTAGTTAGGTTAGTTTGTTGGATAGTTAGTCAGCTAGTTAGTTAGTTAGTTAGTTAGTTAGTTTAGTGAGTTGGTTAGTTTAGTTTAGTCTAGTCTAGTTTAGTTTATGTTGTTTTAGTTAGTTAGTTAGTTAGTTAGCTAGCTAGTTAGTTAGTTATTTAGTTAGTTAGTTAGTTAGTTGTATAGTTATAATACACTTGGTTAGTTAGTTCAGACCTTTTCGTTTTTTCGCTACTTGTTTGTTTGTTTGTTTGTTTTTGGTTGTTTTTTTTGTTGTCGTTTTCGTGTACTTTTTTTTTTTGGTTTGCTTGTTTTTGTTTGTTTGTTCTGCCTGCCGTGGCGGTGATAGTGGTTGTGGTGTTGTTTGTGGTTGTCGTTGTGGATGTTGGTGCGGCTGTTGTTGTTGTTGCTTTTGTTGGTGGAGTTGCTGTTAGTTATTGTTGTGGTTGTGCTCCCGGTTCCTGTTGTGGTTGTTCTTGTTATGTTTGCTGGTCAAGTTCTGGCTGGGGTTGTGGTTGTGTTGTGTTTGGCCGAGGTTCTTGTAGTAGGTTCTGTTTTACTTTGTTTTTTGGGGCTTGTTCTGTGTCCTGTGTTTGTTGTTCCCGCCGTGATTGTTTTGTTTATTAAGTGTGGTTGTTTTTGGTGTTTGTTTCTACTGGTAAAAGTACTTGTTGGCTGGTTGTTTGCGGGGGGTGTGTCAAGAAACAGGGACGGGGCTGCATTTTTTGTTTCCACACCCTTGTGGAGACAAAGGAAGAAGATATGGTGTGACGGGGTTGCAGTTTTTGTTTTGTTCATTGTTGTTGTTGCTGCTGCTGTGCTTGTGGTTGCGGTTGCGGTTGTGGTCGTAGTCGTGGTCGTGGTTGTGGTCGTGGTCGTGGTCGTCGTTGTTGTTGTAGTTGTTGTTGCTGTTGTTGTCGTCGTGGTCGTTGTCGCTGTCGTTGTTGTCACTGCCGTTGCCTGTGGGGGGTTGTTTTTCGCCCTCCGATCGCTCATTGGATTTTTTTGAGGCTTTTCTCGTGCGCGTGTGCTATATGCTGATGCGCTGGACCTCCCCTCCGTGTCTCTTGGCAGTGGGCTGCCGTGCTAGTAGTTGTCACTTGTGTCAACTTCCGCCCAACCGACAATTAATCATTTGTAGACTGAGTCTGCTCAAGCCATGTGCTTTTTCTCATTCCCATCCATCAACGTCTTGTAGAATCGACTTGCCTGATAGGCCCGCTGATGTGATTTGTGGTCGCCGTATCATTCGCCTTGGGGGGCTTCCCGAAGGTTTGATTTTCGACGTTGCATTGTTGAGCCTCTTGTGGCACTGCGTGCCACTGTCCCAATGTCCTCTTGACCCACCCGCTCTCGTGCCATCTCTCCAGGGGAGGTGGAAGGCCAGATCGGTCCAAGTGTCCACATCTAGCGCAGGGATCGACCAAAGCAATGAACCTCTAGCCCATACCCTTGGCAACTTTGACAGCATTTACCAAGGCCCTCGGAGTGCCTTTGCCAATGGGAATGTTGCCTGCCTGCTGCAATTGATGAAGGGTGAAGCTGCCTCGGGCTAGTTGTTTCACAAAGGCCATGATAATGATCTCCATGGCTGGCCACCGCCCTCGTTGAAAGTCCGGTTGGGTTTAGGCCTTGCAACGTTTACCGGTTCCACTGTGGACCTATTCTGTCAGATCTTCCATCATGTGTGGCATCCATGCAGTGAGCTTGATGCAGACTGGGCTCAAGCCTTTGGCTGCTGTGTTGACAGTCGCGCAAAATTCTTCGATCATCACGCGCAGAAGTCACACAGCATTCTCTGAGCGCTGACATTTCTCCATGTGGGTCTTGTGTGGCCACGACCTCCAGCTGCGTGGTTGCCTTTCACATGGCATGGTTCGTACCTGTATGATGCAGACTCCTTCTAAAATGTTGTCTCTTCTGCAAGTTGATCGCATGGTCGCATGGTTGCTGATTCACATCGGTGCCTCATGGTGACCTTCAGGTACCCGGCGCATTGGCAAGGCAGGCACACTATCAACAAAGCCACAGTCAAGTGGAGCATGCTCGCGCTGCCTTCAGGACGCTTTGCTGCTCTCGCTGTGCGCGTGACTGGCAGTCCTGGGCTGAGCTGACCAGACGTGCGTGTTGAACCGTGTAGAATCCGTTGTTGAAGAACAGGAGGAAACATGTAACTGCAACGATCTCTACCCCAAACCAGCCATTCTTAAGTGTTCTTTTTCGACTGCTTTCGGATCAAATCTATTGTTCGTTGCCGTCGAACAATGGCGTCCCTAGAAAGCGGTAGTTGTGGCGGGGAGTGGACCTCTTGCCTTGCCTTGCCTGCGAGGCTAGCCAAACACACAGAGTTGAGGTGTGAAGAAAAGGTGAGCAAGGTGAGCAAAATGGTGGCAGCGAGTTGGAAGAATAGACGTGAGGTGGGGGCCGAAGCCAGGGCAGGCGGCAGGAGATCCCTAGAATGATTGAAGCGTGTAGCGCAGCAAAGGATGGCTTTGTACACACTAGGTTGGTGCAAGCGCGCAAGGTTGAGTGTGTGCCAGCAGGGTGTGTCACTGCCATGCATGATGTGAAGCCCACATGCTTTGCCAGGTGAGCTGCGTTGCAACGCACATCCTGAGACTTCAGCAAGTTCAGGACCTTTGGTGGCTGCAGGGGTGCTGACACACCGTGGTCAAAATGTCCATGCGGGTCAATTGGGTGAGCGCTCTTTGTGTTTCATGGGGTTTGGTTGCTTGTTTGGTTGCATTGGGCTTTGCTTTTTGTTCAGGACTGGTGGCCGAAGCTCTGGCAAGCCCATGCCCCAGCGTGATGCTGCAGCTTCTTAAGTTGACCGTTTCCAAAACTTAAGAGGGCACTGTACGAAGGTAAAGTGCGACGGTCCACTTGTGAAATTCAACAGACCTTTTTGGCCGGATGACAGGCAGTTAAATATCTAGGTGTTGCATTTGGTTGGGTCACGCAAATCGTTTTGGACTTGGGGAAACACAGAACTTGAAGACCTTGACAGTGTTGGCAGCAGTGCTGCGTGCTTGTCACTTGTCACCTCTTCAGTTCAAACATAGAAGGCGGGGCAGTGTATCCATGGAGTCTGAAATGCACAGCTTGCATGCTAGATCATCGTTGCCCAATCATTGCCCAATATCGACGTCAGTCTTGCAAGGCCGTCTCTAAGTCGTTGCCTTTAGGTTGCAGGAGGATTAATATCAAATTCCACAATTTTCCCACTACAAAGATCTGAGCTTCACGTTGTTGACCACTATGCGTTGATCCAATAAAATTGTACACATGCAACTTTGCACGCAACATTGTTTCTTCTGCGCCAAAAGCCGCTCCTGACCCCATGGACCCGCAGAGCCATGCACCTTGGTGTGGCAAATTGGTTCAGAGTTCAGATTGCTTTGGGGGGGCTTGCCAACATTGAGGATTGTTTAGCTGGTGTGACTTTCTCCCACTCCTTCTGGTTCAGGCCAATAGATGCACATGGTTTGGGTCACACGGTTTACATCTAATCGACAACATGAGCCGAAACAACTGCGCATCCCGAACGTTATGTATATGATCCACCAATGGTGTTTATTTTTCACTCGTCCACCATGCGGGTCTTGGGAACCTGAAGAACATACTCAGTGTTCAGAGGAAATTGTCCTTGCTGAGTCAGGTAGTAGGGGCTTTGAATGGGCAGGGTGTATGACCATTTGTATGATTATCTTTTACAATCCACCCAACGAAGGGGACATACACGGGCAAACTTTAAGAGTTGGTTCCTACTTGCAAGTGAATTTTGCCCGCAACAGCTCTGTGGACGGAGCCTCTATTTGAGGAAAACACTTCGAAACATCCAAAATGAGGTGCCTGCTTTGGAGGGTGAGGAGCGCGTGGTGGAGGTGCGGTGCACGGTTTTGGGATGTTGGATTGGAAGAGGACCGGGAACTTTTCCGCCTGCGAACACAGTATTTCCTTTGGTCTGGATATATATATATATACACTGTATATATATATATATACACTATATATATATATACACTGTATATATATACACATATGTGAAACCAAAGCCCCAGGCCTTTTTTGTAGGATTCCTTTTTCATGACAGGCTCACTCACGCTTCAAAACAAGAACACTTCAACAACAACTCGCCCGGATCACAATTCTTTGACGCCGACGGTGTCGTTTTCTCCTCTGCTTTTGGGATCCCAGCCTCCGGCCATGTTTGACCGTCGAGTGCATTTGTCAGTTTGATCGACGGTCTGGAAGAAAGAAGTGAACCTGGGGACTGAAAAGGAGGCGAAAACGGTGAAAGCCACCTCCTTTCACCGCAGACCAAACCTAAACCAGGTCCAACCAAAAGAAGCGTGTGGGTGTTGCACCTCTCACGCGTCAACTCGCGCTCCATTCATCGGCGAGTCTCCCCGGAGTCTTGAGTCTCGTTCGCCGTCCAGGTGAAGTTCGAGGGCCGACGGCAGATCTCCAAGGCGTGCTGCGACCGCGGTGGGCGTCCTTTGTTCTTCGGTTCCGTCGAACAACTCGGATGCTGGGGCTTGGGTTTTTCCCCAAACAGTGTGGACACACTGAGGGGTTCTTACGGTAATGGAGAAGGAGCTGATGCTCAGATCGCTGAAGCGCACGGGCGCGCGCGGCTAATTCGCTGCTGTTTACAGTACGTTCATGCCCCTCGAAATCCTCGAAGTGCATTTCGACTGCGCAGGCCCCCAGCGGCGGGTGCTTCTGACGACTGCGCTCTCGTTGTGGCGCCGTGCGCATTTTCGCACATGGTGGTCACTTTTCGTGGCAGGCGCAAGGGAAGCCTCGTGTTATTTGGTGCTTCAAAGTCGACTTTTCGTGACAGGTGTAAGGGATGGATCGGAGCTGTTTTACTTCGAAGAACAGTTTTCGCGGCAGGCGCAGCACTTGATTTCGTGACAGGTGCAGTGAATCGTGACTTTTTGACATGTGGCTCGTGTGCAGATTTCGTGGCAGGCGCAGCGCTTGGTAAACCTTGAAGTGCAAATTTCGTGGCAGGTGCCTTGGTGAACCTCGAAGTGCAGATTTCGTGGCAGGCGCAGCACTTGGTGAACCTTGAAGTGCAGATTTCGTGACAGGTGCAGCGCTTTGTGAACCTCGAAGTGCAGATTCGTGGCAGGCGCAGCGCTTGGTGAACCTCGAAGTGCAGATTTCGTTCGTGGCAGGCAGAGCGAGCGTTTGGTGGACCTCGACGTGCAGATTTCGTGGCAGGCACAGCACTTCAGGTGAACCTCGAAGTGCAGATCTTGTGGCAGGTGCAGCACTTGGTGAACCTTGAAGTGCAGATTTCGTGGCCTCACACTCACACTCACCCACCTTCAGTCTCACTCACACTCACTCTCACTCTCACTCACACTCACTCTCACCCACACACACTCTCACTCACTCTCACTCTCACTCACACTCGCACTCACTCAGTCTCCCACTCTCACTCACACTCACATTCCCTCACACTCTCACTCTCCCACTTTCACTCACACTCACACTCACTAACACACCTTCACTCTCACCCACGCTCACTTGCACTCACACTCACACTCACCCTCACTCTCACACTCACACTCACACTCACTCTCCCACTCTCACTCACACTCACACTCCCTCTCACCCACACTCACTCACACCCACCTTCACTTCATCACCACCATCACCTCTCTGGATCCCAATGCGTCTAGATCTCTAGACTTTCTGCTTACAGACACACACACTGAATGGGGTCTCTTGCCGGGATAATTTTTTGAGGTGCCTTTTGGTCTGGTGTTTCTCTTAATAAGTTTTTTCTGGTCTTTTTTTTTTTCTTTTCTTCCGTCTGTGTTGTTTTGTGTTCTTTTTCCTTCTCTTTCTGTGCGGGCGAAACTTTCTTTTGGAAGGTCTAAGTGATGTAAGTAGGCTTCTCAAGGCATAATCATGTACCATGAGGGACTGGGTTCTCACCCACCAACGAAGGGATTGTCCCCAACAACATCAAAGGACACTCAGTGTATGGGGAATGCTTGAATCGCTTGGGATGACATGTGTTCCTTCTTTTCCCGCCAGACGGAACAGTTAGGCAACAGCGGTTGCAAACCGAACCGTGCTCGGTGGCGCAAAGCCAGACCGAACACCGCGTCGGTGGCGTCGGTGCAAACCGGCACCCGGAGCTCCAGGTGTTGCAGGCCCATCGTCACGAGCACCTGCGGATTTTCGCCGCCGATGTCCTGGAGATGATGGCGGAGCTGCAACACCGCAGCCGGGCGGCGGTGCAGCAAGGCGCCCCTGTTTTTTTCTATCGCGTGTTCTTCCAATCTGCAGCAGTGCCGCCAAGAGGATGAAGCCGTGCCGTTGTTCGGCTAAATAGGTATCGTGTTCCAGCTGATACTTAGGGGATTCCGTTCGAGTTTGTTGTTGGAACCTTTTTGGTCCCTCAAATAACTTTGCCGGATGGTTTGCACCGCCAGACCTTGCAGGCGCGTTGTCCTCATGGTTTGCATATGCAACTGGGTTTCCTGTCCTTGAGGCCGGGGATTGAGGCTTCCGTTCGGCCGCGCTCAAGTCCACATCATGAACTCTGGCCCCCCCGCTGTTTGATGGGGTCGAGATGAGTTGAGAGAGCATTCATGGACGGTCTATTCTTTCATTCTCCACATGTTCCGTCTGATCGGCCAATGACAGCAGGCCGGGTATGCCACGTTCTGGGACGCACAGTTTGCGTTTTGTGAACGGTTCCGTGCTTTTCAAGGCTCGCCTGCCTTGCTCGCAGGTGGAATGCACCGAGCAACGGCAGCACTCGGAGGCTTCTCTGAAGGGAGACGGACCCAAAAAACGGGTGCAAGAAGGAGCGTCTTCCTGCCATCGGTGAGTCTGCTTTGCTGCCATCGGTGGGGGATTTGGCGAACATGGATGTCTTACAGATCTGCACGGATCGCAAGTTTTGCCTCACCAAGTCCACTGGTGGAGCTTGAGGCACACCAGGCAGCCTCACCAGCTTCCGAGGGTTGGCATGGAGTCGTTTTCTTTCGCCCGTGCGGCAGCCATGAAGGGTGTACTTTTTGCTGTTGGGAGCACGGCGGCTTGCACCACTTGATCTCAAACCCAGAAAATATCAAGATTTTTTGCAGAACTCTTCTCAATGCTTTTGGACACTTTGGGGGGCCATCGAAGTGCCAATCTATTAGTTCTTGGGGAGCCTGGTTTACAGACGATTGCAGGCTGATACTGTATGAGCCCCGTCTTTTGTCCAGGACGACGTGGGAGCTCACCTTGTCTTCAGAATACGCCTGAGCGTGACTTGGCATTATTCACCTGTCGCCGCGTGTCCTAGTTCGGGCGTACATGGGAATAGATGGGTTTGGATCAACACACCACTATGTACAGCGGTTTTGCTCCCCTGCGATTGCCCGGCCTCTTAGATCTAACAACTTACTTATAACTTATGACTGAAAACCGCCACCCGCATCTCGAATGCACTAAAAGGGCGAGCCGTGGCTTTCAGAGCCAAGGTCTATTGGGTGCGGCGATCCAAATCTGCCCAAGAGCGGTTGAGAGACCTGAACTGGGACCCTATAGTGGTATATATATATATGTATATATATATATGTATATATATATATATGGCTGTTCAATCTCTAGGTGGTTCCAGAGTCACAAATGGTGCTTCAGAGTGGTCAAGGGGTTCAAAGGCATCTAGAATCTAGAGACGAAGCAATGTTGGGTGAACATCTGCAGGTGGAGGCTTCATCATTTGTGGGAATGATGTGCTTTGAGCTACAGCCATTGGCTGAGATTTGGTGG